TCACAGGCATGCACCATCACATCCGGTCTTGGTGACTGGCTCAGTGCACCCAGGAGCAGGGTGGTGCAGCATGTGGTGCCAGAGATTGAACCCTGGTCCCTGTACTTGCCTAAGCAGCTGCTTAGTCCACTGAGCTATCTCGCCAGCCCAATTTGTTGATTCTTGATGTTATTTTTTGTGTAATTGGGCTCCTATTCAGAAGTCTTTGCCTATGCCTGTGTTTTCAAGAGTGTTCTCCAGTAGTTACCTAATGTGTCCTCAAGTAGTTTATTTCTGTTTTAACATTTAGATCTTTGATCTAGTTTTTGTTTTGGGGTGTTTTGATTTGGTTTTTGGTTTTTAGTTTTTGGGTTTTGGTCTTGGTTTTGTTTGTTTGTTTTTGAGACAGTCTTGCTATGTAGTTCAGGCTGGCCTTGAGCTCAAATTATGGCCCAGGCTGGTCTCAAACTCACAACAATCCTCCTACCTTAGGCTCCCAAGTGCTGAGATTGTACACATGTGCCACCATGCCCAGCTTGATCTGTTTTGATTTTTAATTTAGTACCTGGTGAGTGATGTGGATCTAGAATCAATTTTCTGGATGAGTATAACCAGTTTTCTAAGTATCACTGGCAAAAGAGGCTCTTTCTTCTGGTGTTTGTTTTTGGCCCCTTTGGCAAAGATCAGACAGTTGAATGTACCTAGGCTTGTTTCTATGTCTTCTATTCTGATCCTTTGATCCACATGTCTGTTTTTATGCCAGTACCGTGCTGTTTTATTACTGTATCTCTGTAATATAACTTGAAGTCTGGGATTGTGATGCCGCTTGCTGTGCTCTTGTTGGCCTGAATTGTTTTTGTTACTCTGAGTCTCTTTTGGTCCATATGAATTGCCCTTGTTATTTTAATTAAGACTGTGTTAAATCCACTTACCAGTTTTGGAAATAAAATCATTTTGACCATATTGGCTTTACCTATCCAGGAATAAGGGATGTTTTTCCATTTTCTGATAACACTAAATCTCATTTTTTCAAAATATTGTGGTTTTTATTGTAGAGGTCTTTTGTTTCTTTGGTTAGGTTAATTACTAAGTATTTACTTTTTCTTGATGCCATTGTGAATAGTATGCATTTCTTAATTTCTTTCTCAGTGGGTCCATGCTTGGTGTAAAGATATGGTACTGATTTGTGTGTATTTCTACCCTCCTCTGCTACTGAATTTGGTTATTAATTCTCAGAGTCTTTTGCTGGAATTTTTTTGGTCTTCTGAGTAAAGGACTATATCCTCTGCACATGATGGTAATTTAACTTCTTATTTTTTAATACATAGCTGTCATGCTTTGTGTCTAGGTGTCCCCCCTCCCCAAAAGCCTCATGCAGTTGTGGGGTGTCTTCTGGAGTTTGTGATTGATTATTGTGGGTGTGGATGCTGCACCTGCCCTGGAGCAGGTAATTTGCATTACAATGTAAGGAGGGGAGAGAGGCTAGCTGCTGCCTGAGCAGCTGCCACTCCCTTTTGCTCTCCTGCTCTCTGCCACTGCCATGAACAGCTGTTCTCTGCCCTGTGCCACTCTGCCTTGGAGCCAGCTGAGCATGGACTGAAACCTCCACTGACTGTGAGCTAAATAAACCTTTCCTTCCCTCATTTTGGGTGTGTCAGGTATTTGTCCTGGCAATGAGAGAAGAATAACTGAGATGATATCTCTTTCATTTCTATTTCTTAGCCTATTACTCTAGCTAATGATTGGAGAACAGAAATGGTCATAGCGAAAATCCTTGTTTTGTTCTTGATTTTAGAAAAAAAAATGTTCAGCTTCTCCCCATTTAATATGATGTTGGCAATAAATTTGTCATAAATGGCTTTTGTCAGATTGAGACAAAATCCATATATACCTAGTTTTTAAAGGTTTTTTATCATAGATGGATGTTAGATTTTGGCAAAGGCTTTTTTCTGCATCTATTAAGATGATCATATGATTTTTGTGCTCACTTCTGTATAGGTGACATGTTTCATTTATTGACTTATGTATGTTGAGCCATCCTTGCATGCCTGAATGAAGCCCATTTGGTTATGATGTGTGATCTTTTTGGCAATTTGCTGCATTCTATTTGCCAGAATCATATTGAAGACTTGTGCATTTATGTTCATTAAAGAAATTGGCCTGTCACTTTCTTTTTTTATTTGGGTCCTCATATGGTTTGGAAATTAGAATAATGTTAGCCTCCAGGAATGACTTTTTCCTTTCAATTTTCTTAAAAGATCGAGGAGTATTTGCATCATAATATCCTCTCTGAAGTTCTTAAAGGATTCAGTGGTGAATTCACTTTGGCAGGCAGGTGCCCTGGGAAGGGGAAGTACACCTCTCCGAAGAACTGCAGAGCCACTGAGCCAGCAGTGTAAAGGCAAGAGTGAAGTGAATCAGTGAAGGAATGGGGCTGGGATTGGGACTGCAAGTTTCTCTGGCATTGGAGAGTGTCTATCCCAGATGATAAGTATGAGGTCTGGTGGTGCAACCATTATGGAAATCAGTGTGGAGAGTCCTTAGAAAAGTTGGACTGGAAATCCCATTTAAACCATCTATTCCTCTACTGGGAATTTTCCCAGAGGATCTGAAAACATCATATCATAGGGATATATGTGTGTCTATGTTTATAGCAGCACAATTTGTGA